GGACTTACTGTTGCTTCCATAATGGCACAAGAAGGAAAAAAAGTCTTATTACTTGAACAACATGATGTTATTGGAGGTAATACTCATACTTTTAAAGAAAATGGTTTTGATTTTGAAACTGGATTGCATTATATTGGTGGAAGAATTGGTAAGAAAACATCAAACTTAAGAAAACATTTTGATTGCATAACGAAAAATGGAGTTGAATGGGAAAAAATGGATGATGTATATGATCTTCTAGTTATTCGTGATGGGGAGAATCGTGAACAATATCCAATGCATTCTGATGTTAAGATTCTTAAGAAGACACTTATTTCTTCATTTTTTGAAGAAGAAAAAGCAATTCATGAATATTTTAATTTGATTAAGAAAGTTCGTCTTAGTATAACAGTATTATTCTTACTAAAATGCATACCATATCCAAGGATTCAGAAGATAATTCATAAACTGGTTCAACCTTTTCTTTCTATATTTGATGAAACAACAGAACAAGTTCTATCCAAATTAACTAATAACAGAAAACTTATTGGAATTTTGACATATTTATTTGGTGATTACGTTGAAGTTCCATCACGATCATCGTTTGGAATACAAGCATTACTATGTGATCACTATATGGGTGGAGGATACTTTCCAGTTGGAGGTCCATCAATGATCGCACGTAGCATTGTTCCAATCATCGAGAAATCTAATGGAAAAGCGTTCGTTCGTGCTCCAGTTTCATCAATTCTTATAAATGAAGATAATAAAGCTATTGGAGTTGTAGTGAAAGATCATCAGATTTTTTCAAAAATTATTGTTAGTGCTATCAGTTCCACAATAACCTACAAGTATCTTATACCTAAAACTCATCAACATTTAGTTGAATCTCATTTGAAGATTATAGAAAGTCCTGAACTTACCTCGCACACTGGTTATATGTCAATGTTTGTTGGTCTTGAAGATGATTCCGATGAACTTAATTTACCGAAGAGAAATATATGGATAGTTCCATCATTGAATCATGATGAAAATATGAAGAAATTTCGTAATGATTACAATGCAGATTTTCCAGGTATTTTCATATCTTTTGCATCTGCAAAAGATCCAACATATTGCACAAGATACCCTAAGAAGAGTGTCGCATCGATTATTACTCTTGGTATTTATGAACATGTTGAAGATTACAAAGACAAACGTGTAAAACATCGTAGTGATGGATATAATCAACTGAAAGATGAATGGAAGGAAAGAATGTTAGAAATATTTTTAAAAGAATTTCCGAATTTAAAAGAGAAAATTGTTTATATTGATAATGGAACAGCAATTACGAATGACTTTTATCTTGGAACTTATCATGGAGCAGCTTGTGGACTAGCACATACACCAGAGCGATTTAGACAAGTGGAAATTCTTTCACCAACATCACCAATCAAGAATCTTTATCTATCAGGACAGGATATGCTCACCTGTGGAGTATCCGCTGGTCTTATGAGTGGATTTATGACATCATATGCTATTTATCCTAGTTTGATATTTAAGTATCCGAAGCGCATCTGATTGTGTTACATTCATGGAACAAAACTACATTAAGTTTCGATGGTTTTTTAGAAATTGGATTCAAATTAAGCTAAAACTTCAGTGAAATTATAATGAATTGAATAATAACTTATTATTTCATTGAAATTTCTATTCATTATATACTAAAAATTCAAAATAAATTGATCATTAATCCTATGAATGTAATTCTTGTGAACACAATCGTTTGATAAGTACATCTAACATTGAATAAATAAATACTTCATAAACTAGGATTGATTGAATATCATTTTCGAATAATTGAAATAGTTTCATGCGATATTAATTGACTAGAAGAGATTTTCGTTGAGGTAGATAATTAACGTAATTATTGTTATTGAGGTTGATTGAGCTAGAAACAAGAACACCTAACAGTTCGTAATAAGGTTAAATTTTCTTTAAGAGACTATTTTATTAGAATTGAGATCGTATTCGACCTGTCCACGTAACGGTCCACCTATGCGGGCAAAATCGATGTATGCATTTATACAATACAAATATAAGCATTTTGTACAGTATGGGTGTGCGTCTAGGTGTGAGTGTTGTGAAGAAACATAGCCAAACTCATACTCACAACCACACCCACCCACTCTCACCGATATATGGATGAATTGCAAAATTATTGTACCGTTCCGTGACAAAAACGGACGAAAAAAAATTTTCGATTTTAACAACGGTGATTAGTACATTCTACAGTCCTACATGGGCCGTGAATATGGATAAAGTTTCCCGACTATCACTATTAAATTGCCCAAGGATACGACGATCTTTTAAAAAATACTATTAAAAAATTCAAGGTCCAGTTTCTTTGATAGTAAACACCTCAGTTCGATTTTTCGATAGCTTTTTAGGTTTTTGAGTTGGGTCTTTTCTTTGTAATGATGATCTATCTTTGATCTAGAATTAGCGACTAAAATAACACGGTTTGCCTTAAATTTTACTTAGTTTTTTCCACTTATACAGTGATAAAATTTGTAAATGTGCAGTTAATTACAGAATGTGCATAATTAATGACTTTTCTCTATGAATTTATTAACCCGTGAAATATAAGCTAGGATTAATTCACATGACTGTTGATAGATCCTTAAATATAGAAGTTAAGTGATATTCTATGTATCTACTTTGGCTTTAGTTGTGAGGTAGTTATACCCATAGTAATCTCGCATGACAGAAAATTGAGAGTTGTCTGTACGCATGGTATTTCGATAAAATTGTAATAAAAACTACGTCAAAAGAACCGATGGGTTTTATATCTGAGAAGTGTAGAGTGTATATTATAAACATCACGAACTGTTAAAATCCAAATGACAAGTAACGAACTGGGCATACAACATTTTGTCAAAAAGACGGCAGCAGAAATCGAACTTTTGAGCCTTGTCCAGCCAATATCTCAGGACTTATTCAAGATAACGTTGAGATTTTTTTGTGTGATAGTAAGGACTTCTTACTCGAATATATGATGAAAAAATCATAAAGATTAGTTGAGTAGAACTCGAGATAATGAAATTTTACCTCCTAGAATACAACGGTACAATAATTTTGCAATTCATCCATATATAGGTAGCAGAGTGATGATTGAAACTGCAACTTAAACGAAAATAACAACAGGAAAATGAATTTGAATCAAAACAGGGATAGACACGACGATGGTAACAGAGGCAGCTATTGAGAATAGCTCTCCAGTTTCTGTGAGGATCAGAGGGTGGGTGTGGGTGTAGGTGTAGGTGCGGGTTGTGGATTTGTTAGCAAAATCCAGAAGTCAATTTATCCAATAAAACGGACCCACACCCCACACCCCACAGCCACACTCACACCCAGACCCATACCCACACCCACTCACACACCCACACTCATACCCATACTCACACCCTTATCTGCTCAGATTAGAAACGGTACTAATATATGAATGAATTATGTTAGATTTTCATTCGCCTTCATGTATATCGACCGTATACATGCACGTTGGGTGTGGGTGTGTGGGTGGGTGTGTGGGGTGTGGGTGTGGGTGGGTGTGGGTGTGGGTGGGTGTGGGTGGTGTGGGTGTGGGTGTGGGTGTAGTGTGGGTGTAGGTGGGTGTGGGTGTAGGTGGGAGTGGGTGTGGGGTGTTGGTGTGTGGGATGTGGGTGTGGGTGTGGGCGGGTGTGGGTAGGGGTGTGCGTGTGGGTGTGTGGGGTGTGGATGTGAGTATGGGTAGGGTATGATACCAATGTCTCTGTGGATATCTACACACCCACACCCACACTCACACCTCCACCCGCACTCACACACACACCCAAACCCACCCACACCTACACGCCCGCCCCCACCCACACATCCACATCCAAACCCACACCCACACCCACACACACATCCTCAAGATAGTGTTAGTAAGCTTCAAGAGCATTTCATTGGTCTAACTGACACAAGCGTAGCCGCCTTTGACGGCAAAAATAATGAGAATCGGTGCTGCATTTAATACAAAAGGACTTCTTTCGGAAAATCGTAAAACAAACTATGATTCTTAGTAGGAGGTGAAAATTTTTCGCTCACACGCATGTCACCATTGACTGTCTACTAATTAGTGAAGTTTGCCGACTTCTGCGTCTAGTATGAAATCAGATATCCAGCAAAAAGACTTTTGCGTAATTTCAACACTGAAAAGTTGATATACTGCCTCTGGTTCGAGTAAATGTTTATGCTTCCACTCCTTCTCAGGCCTCTCTCATGTGTCTTATCGACTGTATCTGTGAAAAATTTCCGATGCTGTCTGCGAAAAAAATTTAGCCCCACCCACTCTCGAAAACAATCGAGAATCTTGTTCGTATTTACAATCTTTCAACGTTTATTTGCTCTGTGCTGATTTCTTTTTTTTACAAGACACACGCAGATTATGAGACGTTTTTCTTTTGATATGCCGTCTCTTTATTTTATGCATGTGTGCAAACAGAATAAAAACAACAAGCTATGTTGCACGTGTCATGCATAGGAATGGTAATGTGAAATAGAAGGAAAGAAAAAAAAAGTATGTCTCAATTGTATTCGTTTTTATTGGCTTTCTGATGTACAACAAGAAAATATTTCTGCTTCAAAAGCATGAGTCATTTTCTATTCGTAAAAATAAATCAAAAGATTTTTTCCTACAGTTTTGTAATGTGAGCTAATAGGCAAAATTATTTCTTTTTGGTTTTTTGCAAAGAATTCTTTTGACAAAAAGACTCACGCTTATTTGCGAACAAACAAAAAGACTTCTCATAACGTGCATATCAAAAATTACTATGGTTAGTATCTATTTAACTACTTATGATTCTATATATTCTTTTTCTAGGATGATAATATACTAGAAAGTGAGGAAGACGGCATTGATTATAACCGTGAATCTAGCTATAGTGCTCCTTGTAAGTTAATTATTTTTTATTTTATTTTAATAGAAAGATAGATTTACTAATGAATATATATATATTACATAAAAAGTTTCTCCAAATGTGAGAATGAAATTGTTGGCATTGATTCAATGACGAAATGTTTTGAACAACGTTACGATGCTTGTCCTGTATTCTTCAGAGGTTCTCTTCGAGATGCGTGCTAAGCAGCTTTTACTCCGACTGTAATTCAAGAAGTTTGTTTACATCTGTTTTTTGTCTCTTTAAATAAAAATAAGATCGATCTTTTATTTTGTTTAGCGTCGTCCAATACTTGTTTACATACATAATGACGATAGTCAAGTTTGTAATACATTTTGTAAAACAGTATTCTGTTCATCAACGATTATCGATTATTTACTTGACAATTATATTGTTTGGCCTTGGGATATAACGTTTCAATCAAATAAAAATACGTGAGTTAGATATAAAATAAAACTACGATGGTTTTTTTCTTCTTTTAATCAGATTGATGAAAATTTGGGAAGAAGTGTTTTCTATTGAATTTTTGAGTGATTTTTTCACTGAAGAATGGCCTTTAATGATTGGAATTATGCGACGATTTGAATATAAAACAGATAGATTAATAACATCCGATTATCAATTCCAACCATTGCTTAAAAGTGATAATTTAATGGGCAAACAAAAATCAGAAGTCTCTGAAATAGTTTTAAACAAATTGCGTCTTTTCAAGAAGCAATTTGATGAAAATGAACAAGTTCTTGTAAGTCTTTGTTACTTGTCCTTTATATAAAAAACAAACATATTCATTTAAGTCATTTAATTTCGTTGAATCTAATGGTCTTTCTTGGGAAGTCATCCTTGAGACAGCCAAATATCTTTCATTAAATGATGCAATCTCTGCGTTCTCTACTAATATTCTTTCTTTATTACAACATCATTCAATGAAATTTCAATTATCTAATCCTGATATTCCATTTATTCAAATGATTCTTCGAAAAGTCAAACCTGAACAAATTGTTTCTTTACAACTGGATGGATTTCGATTGTGGTCGAGGATCGAATTAACTTTTTTATCTACCTTTACAAACATCATTTCAATGACTCTTCTCAATTTACCATATGATAAAGAAATCAATAAATATGAAAAATACTTTCCAAATTTGACTTGCCTTTCTCTGTGCTATGATAATGAAATTAATCTTGATACATTTAGTAGTATTTTTAATCAATTTTGGGATCGAATCAAACGATTTGAAATTCGTTGTGCAGGTGTACTTTGCACTCATTATACCACATATCGATCAAACAAATCCTACCACGTAAATTCGACTGTGAAATATTTTCTATTTGATGTTGGTCAATTTCCATTGATTTCAATGAGTAATTATTATGAATGTAATAGATTATGTTGTTTGAAATCAATAATTATTCTTATCAAACAAATGGCGAACATTCGATGTGTTCATTTTATTATCAATAAATACGATATTGAAGCATTCATGGATATACATGAATGGGAAATTCTCGTACAGGCATGTTCTCAATTGAAGAATATAAAATTGCAAATATTAGACAGGATGTTTCAAAACGATGAATTGACACAGAAAGTATTCGAAATTCAAACAGCATTACACAATATACGACAAACAATCAGATTTCAAATTTTCGGTTTATAATTATTGTTTCATTGTATTTTTTCAATTTATATTCATTCTTTGCAAAATCCATCTATCTATTTTAATTAATAAATACATCAAAGGACTTATATTTCTATCTTTCATATTCATTTGTAAAATATTACTTTAGGTCTTTCGTAATTATACTATTACAAAATTAATAGATGTCGATAAGATGTTCTTTGAAAAGAAAGACTATGAGTGTCGTTCAATGAAATATATTTAAATAGATTAATAACAAATAATATAAATTCATTAAACGAATCTTATATATCTTCCTTTCAATAAGTTGTATAGTGTTTGTAAAGTGAGGGTGGGTGTGAGGTGTGGGTGTGGATATTTTTATTTTCTTAATCCACATCCACACCCACACCCACACCCGAACTATAGTTAGATTTTAATCCATTTTTACAAACGTCTGAGATTAAAAATAAACCTTTGACATAAAATAGCTTTTTTTCATAAAGTTCATTACGAACTATAGTTAGATTTCAGCGTATTTTTACAAACCTTTGAGATGAAAAATAAACTTTTGAAATAGGAAACAAAAAAATATTACATCGTGATCGTTAGACTTATCGAACTTAATCATATAACTTCTTATGAAAAGAAAGATCTATTTGTAAACAAATGTTTACACGGCACTAAAGCTCACGGCAGTAAATCATGTAAACCGTTTAAAATGGTTTAAAATATATACGTAAAAGATCAGTATCTTCATTATCAATTGCGACAGTTTCGTTATTTGTTGTTGAAAGAGGTATTACATGTTGTGTAGTTGTTCTAGATAGTATTCATAGTCAAAAACAATCATGATAATTAGGAAATAATTGTATCAAAACGAATATGTTGAGTATGCATTAAGACTTTATATCTTTCGATGAATCTTGCTTTATTAACCCATCTATAAACATATATTAATGATAGATTTTGATTAAAAAAAAATTTAAAAAAAAGTAAAAAGAAAGAAACCAAATGAATGATTCAATTTTCAATAATAACTTGATGAAGGATAACAAACAGCTCTTTCTAAGATTATTTTCTTTGACATGAATTATCATCGTCATCGAAAGCTTTGCCAAAATGATGAACAGCATTTAACAAAACAATAAAATAAATAAAAAAAAAAGACAAACCAATAAAAATAGAACTTTACCAGTCGATTAAAAATTGATTTGCCAAACATAACTAACTAGTGTATATTCACAATCATTATCATACACTGTTTAATAAAAACAATACAAATTTGAATTTCAATGATAAAAAATCAAGGTGCAAATTTTTATTTGCAATCAGATTTAATAATAGTCCGATAGTAGGTCTTCAGATGAAATAAATTTTTCGATGCAATAACTCGTAAGGATTGATAAATTTGATCTAATCTCTTATTTAAAATTATTACTTAACACTATTGAAAGGTTTCTCGATTCATAAAAGGATACTACGTCTGATAAGATCTTAAAATGACCTATAAAGTTCAGTTTTATACTAGGCTTGATATTTTTAGGTTTCCTAATACCTAGATATTTTCACAGTTGCATCATGTTAATGATTGACATAACTTTCTCAATAGAACAGATTCTTTTCTGATATTTTTGTATCGAAAAGTTGAGAGTTTCTGATAATCGATTAAAAGCAATCCAAAAAGTGAGCTCGAAATTTTAAAGGTGAAAAATCTTTACTTTAGATCGAATTTGATTTCTAACGAGTGGCTAACTTTTCGTCACCATGATCAATACATTCACTCTGATTCATGGTTCTTATTCTACTATGAGAAAGCGTGAGTTCAAAACTTAGAGTTGGGATTTTGATGATGATTAAAATAGACTAACTTCAGTACCCTTAAAATGGAGGAAAAAACCGGTGACAACCGAACTGGACTAATTTCAACCTAGATATGAACTTTGAAAGAGCGAATTTATCTTATGAGAAGCGTCACCTCCTCGGTCCTCTTTATGCTGGATAAAACACGTCCTGAAATAAAATCTTATCTGTCACAGTAATATTAGGGTGTGGGTGTCGGTGTGGGTGTTGGTGTGGGTGTTGGTGTGGGTGTGAGTGGGGTGTGGGTGTGGATTTGGGTGTGAGTGTGGGTGCGGACGCGGACGCGAGACCTCTTCACCTATGCTCACACCCACATCCAAATCCACATCCATACCCACACCCACCCTATCTTATTTAATTAATGTGTTATATTCTTGTTTTAAGGAACTTTTTTTTAAATCAGTTTTGTCTTTTTTTTTCTGGTTATGCATATTTTCTGCTGTTTTGAAAACCCTATTGGACTGTATCTTTCTGAAACACAAGGGAAGCAAAATCCCACCTATGTAAATAACGGTAAGGTATAAAAGACCACATGTTTAAGATTTAAAAACAATGAAATTCATACCCATCCTTACAGGATAAATCATAGAAAGAATATCTTTTACAATTTGGACTTTAAATATATCTTACGCAACAGAATACATGAATTTCGCAATTATTTCAACATTCCGTTCTTGCGCAATTATGGTCAATGCTGAAATTACCTTTTTTGAATACTATATCATAAGCGATGTTGAGAACCTTTCTTTTATTCTTAGAGAAACAAAAATATTTTGAAAACATGCAAAATAATCGTCTTGACAAACGAAATTGTGAACAAGAATCTTTAACACGAATTGCTATAGTAAATAACGATCGGTGTAAACCTAAAAAATGTAATCAAGAATGTAGACGATCATGGTTAGTTTATTAAATCTTATATTTTATTTGAATACTTTATTAAATTCTCATTATTTTAGTCCAGTTAATAGAACAGGAAAATTGTGTATTGAAGTAAAACCTGAATCAACTAATTCTAATATATCAGAAGAATTATGTATTGGTTGTGGTATATGTGTGAGGCAATGTCCATTCGATGCAATAAGTATTATTAATTTACCAAGTAATCTTGATAAAGATACAACTCATCGTTATGGATTGAATTCATTTAAATTACATCGTTTACCAATACCACGACAAGGTCAAGTTTTAGGTCTTGTTGGCTCAAATGGTACAGGTAAAACAACAGCATTAAAAGTTTTAGCTGGAAATGTAAAACCCAATTTGGGTAGATATTCGGTATTGAAAACAAAAAGATATTATTTTAGATTTAATATTATATATTCAATTTTCATTTGATTTAGACACCACCGGATTGGCAAGAAATAATAAAATATTTTCGTGGTAGTGAATTACAAAGTTACTTTACAAAAATTCTTGAAGAAAATCTTAAAACTGTATTCAAAAGACAGGATGTCGATCGAATTCCACAACTTGTACAAGTAAATTAAATTTGAACTATCAATTTCTTTTTTTTTCTAAAAGATTGTTGTTGTTTTGCTAGGGTCTTGTACATAATGTATTACAAAGAACAGATGAACTAAGTGATCAAAGTGAAATATATGAATTATTTGATTTATCAAATGTTCAAGATCGACAAATATCCGATTTGTCTGGTGGAGAATTACAAAGATTTACATGTGCTATGGCTTGTATGCAAAAAGGAGATATATACATATTTGATGAACCATCAAGTTATCTTGATATTAAACAACGCTTAAAAGCTGCTGTGGCTATTCGAAACCTTATTCAAGAAAATCGGTATGTTATGCTGATTGTTGTTCTTTATTATTGTAGATTCAAATACTGATGAGTTATTTATACATTCTTCGGAAGGTCAACCTATTGTTAAAGAAAAATAGCATGTTTTTAGGACATTTGAAAATAAAATTCTTTCGTATACATCAGGAATATAAAGAAGATTCATTATCCTATGTTACCTGTATAATATTTATAGAATGAAATTTTATTTTTCTATATGTTGCAAATATAATGGTAAATTTCGTATCATTATTTTACACTAAAGAATAAAAAGTACACCGTAACTAGTTGAAAGAATTTTTCTTCATAGTTTAGAGGATTAAACATTATAGTAAAATTTAACTGAAATTCTATTTAGTACGATATGCATAGAGACCGTAAACCACATGCACATCCTTTTTTAATCGTATTGTTTCTTTTTTGGTACAGATACATTATCGCTGTGGAACATGATCTTTCGGTACTTGATTATTTGTCGGATTTTATTTGCATTTTATATGGTTCGGCTAGTCATTATGGTGTTGTAACAATGCCTTTTTCTGTTCGTGAAGGTAAAAAAGACATGAAAATATTATTTATAATTGGTTGATATATGATTTTATTATTTTTTTTGTTTGTAGGTATTAATATATTTTTGGATGGCTTTATTCGAACAGAAAATTTACGTTTTCGCGATGTTGAGTTAACGTTTAAAGTTGTTGAAACGGCGTCTAAAGAAGAAGTTAGACGTTTATCAACACATTATTATCCTGCTATGAAAAAAAATCTAGATTCTTTTGATTTATCTGTTGATGCGGGTTCCTTTACAGAATCGGAAATTATTGTTTTACTTGGAGAAAATGGAACTGGTAAAGAAATTTATAGAAAAATAAATAAATATATAAATATATTGAATTTAGAATAATTCTGAAACGTTTCCTATTTCTAGGTAAAACAACTTTGATTCAAATGTTAGCTGGTAAATTAGAACCCGATAATGGAGGTTAGTTCATTTATAACTATTAAATTGTCATTTATTTCATTACATTTAATTAGAATGAGAATATATGTCCATGTTAGAACGAAAAGTTATAAATCAATCTCTAAGATTTTCTACTGAAATATTTACTGAGAAGTATGAAATTTTGATGAAGAGACCGAAATATTAGTACACATTAGATAAACATGAAGTTTTCAAGGAAAATTAACATGTGTCTTTGAAAAATTTAATGTTCAATTTAATTGAAATTGAAATTTTCATGCTAAGACTCCATATTTCTTTTAAATATTTAGTCAAAATGCCTCAAATGAATGTTTCTTATAAACCACAAAAGATTAGTCCGAAGTTTACTGGTACAGTTCGTAATTTACTTCATGCGAAAATTGGTGAAACAATGTTTCTTCCACAATTTCAAACGGATGTTTCACGACCACTTCAAATCGATAAAATAATTGATAATCAAGTAAATTTGATATTTGATATTTTTCTTTCGTGTGTAAAATAGTGTATTTTAAGGTTCAAGATTTATCTGGTGGTGAATTACAACGTGTTGCATTATGTTTATGTTTAGGAAAGTCAGCTGATGTTTATTTAATTGATGAACCATCAGCTTTTCTTGATTCTGAACAACGTTTACATGCTGCAAGAGCTATAAAACGGTAAAGAAGATAATAATCAAGAAAAATTGAAATTCTATTAAATATTTTCTTCTAGATTTCTTCGTCATTATAAAAAAGTAGGCTTTGTTGTTGAACACGATTTTCTCATGGCAACATATTTGGCTGATCGTGTTATTGTTTTTGATGGAGAACCATCCATCAAAACTCATGCATCTGAGTATGAAAACTACTAGTTAAATTTTTATTTGAAAAATATTTATTACTGTCTTTATATAGACCACAGGCACTTCTACCGGGTATGAATTCATTTTTAAAACAACTCGAAATAACATTTCGACGAGATCCAAGAAATGGTCGACCACGTATTAATAAGAAAGGATCTTTTAGAGTAAACTTAATTTATAGAGAAGGTTTTTCTTTACAACTAATTTTGTATCTTTGTATAAATTAGGACAAGGAACAAAAATCAGCTGGTCAATATTTTTTTCTTGAATGATCATCGTTGAAAACATATTATCTCAAATACTATTCTCACCGTTTTGAGTATGCATTAAATAATCAAATCAAATAGATTTAATTATCAAAACGGACATTAAACTAAATGAAATCAATATATATTTTATTTGTTTTTTCTAAATATATAAACCTTTGAGGACACAAATATGCTTGATAATGATATTATTATTTACCAATAATAATGTACCAAAAAATATTGAACCAGTACTAAAACAGGACTTTCATCTAACTAATTTTTGTAAAACGGTCAAGCTGGATGTGGGTGCAAGCACGTGGTCAGTTCTTTACATGATATTCTAGTAAAAACACTATATAAGACACCGAAAAGGATATCCTGTCACCAGTATGTTACAGAGACTTTAGAGTACTTTTTTTTCTTTACTACTAACTCCTGAATGCTCGTAGACATTAAATCGACTAACATACTGAGAAAATATTCCATACAGTGCTGTAAAAACTAACTACCTAATTAGTTACGCACCTAATTGTTATTGGTCACTTTAGAAAGTATTGCATGTCAGCAACGACCAATTTTGCTTAATCATCCTCATTGATGTGACTGATATTTTGATAGGGTGTGGGAGTATGTTTAAAGACTAAAGCTACGCTTATGTACATATTTATACCCTTTATTTAATACTTTTCTATTGATACTTCTTATCGAGTATAATCATAATATTAGTATTTTTACTGTTATGAAAAATGCTTTGTACATAATTAAAACAAATATATGTGTCCATATAAAACTATAAACATCTGTTATGTTCACCAACTGTGAACTCTTGAGGGTGTGGGTGGGCATATTCTCTTCAGTCACACCGACACCCACACCTTTCTTTCATCACGGTCCAACCTCGATTTCCTTGCTTGTTTGAGTCATATGTAATACAAATGAGTTTGTTTGATCTCTTGATCAAATGATTTATATTTTAAAAATAATTCAAAATAAAAAATATTAAAATTTCTATCCATCCGTCAGAGTCCTAATGTTCTTTCAATCCCGAATGTGACAAATAAGTTTCAGTCTGTCTGTATAGATCGCTATCGTGGATCTATGAGAGAGATGTTACGTTGAGAACGTAGTTCAGATATAGAATTCATTGTGTTTCTTCGATATCTTGTTTGTCATCAACGATTGGTTCGATAATGAACTAGTTGAAAGACAATCTACGTAAGCAGTTTCTTCTAAATTATCCAAAATAGATGGACAGAGCATACGGGTGTAGGGATGTGAGCGTGGATGTGGGTGTGTGGGTGTGGATCTTCTATGCTTCAGCAATCATACACACACACCCTCGTTATATATTTATTATTTTATTATTATTTACAGATTTCATAATTGTATATGATATTTTATATACCAGTATATCATATTTTAAGGTGAGTATGGGTGTGGGGTGCGTCAGTATGAAGGAGAATACATCCACACCTATACCCAGCGCACCTTCTGAACGAATTTTATTTTTTCTCAGACTAAGTGTGACAAGCGTCTGCGTAAAATAATCAGTAAGTGATGCAATATAAGATTCAAGAAAAGAGATAGAATGAGATTTCATGTAAAAATATTTTCAAAATATTGTGTTTCCTGATCATTGATTCAATTGTGAAACACCAAGCTTGGTGCAATGGCAGACTTATAATAGATAGGAGGAGCGCTGGTTTCATTCGAAAATTGTATTTTCTTGACTTCTTCTAACGAGACAAGGCTCTAAAATAAGCTATCACCGACTCTGATGAGCTTCAAAACGATTTTCTGATCACTATTGCTTCTCATCTTCGCAAAAAAATCCTAGATTCTACATTAGTTTTGTAAGTACCTGAGAGAAATTCTCATTGAATCATAAAATGTACGACATGAAGAATAATATATGACCTAATTTTCGCTTAAACCATCAGCAATATAATGTGTTCCTTGATTTCTTCTTTTATTAGAGTCAAAAAATCAATGTAGTCGGTGTCTATGAAAATCAAAAACTAAATATCAGATTAAGACGAAGCAAGTCGATGCTATTATATAATTTTGTCGTAGTGCATGGTCAAAGTGTTTGGCTGCTTGAGTACGAATTTCCTTTCCACGATTGATCAGTAGAACAAGTGTCTGGTTGAAATAATACATTAAATGAAAGAAAGAGAACTAGACACCAGAAGATAGTACTTCATATGGTTCTATTCTTAGGCAACAATGTAGACCTTCTTCTCCATATATTCCACTGAATGAAAAATCAAGTGTCGTAAGCGACTAGATAACGCAATAAGTTAGTAGCACAACAAAAGTGAGACGAAGGAAAACACTACTTGATTTTGTCGTAGGCCATCACTAAAATTATATACTCCTTGACTACTGAGTTTATTGTTTCTGAGTTGAAGTATGGTAAGTACCTGTGTAAAACATAAAATAATTGTTAGAATATTGAATGTTTTCGTACAGAAACTAAACATCATGTTGAACCTTGCAACGAATTGACAACATATTTT